AGTATGTAGGGTTTATAATGAATATATATATATATATCTGGCAGTATGTAGGGTTTATAATGAATATATATATATATATCTGGCAGTAAATTGCCAAGTGTTAGTCAAGATAACAATTCAGTACCTGGTAGTTTTCACATAAGGAAATACTGCATTTGGCTTGGCCATCAACACCTGAAATGCGGACTTGAGTTTCTTTGGATTTGGAAGATGAGTTGGAAACAAAAAGAACAATCAAAAGTTTAAAATTTTAATAATAGAAATTTGGTAATACAAAAAACAACATGTCATAACGTTTGGGACAACATGGGCCCTGTTGGTCCATCTCAGCTGTTCCATCCTGTTCAAATTAGGATAGCCTTCAACCTACAAACTATACATAAACATTGCACATCTTTATTACTAATACTAGCTTCCTTAAATTTAAAAGTACATGTCAGTCCCAAGTTCTCAAATAAAACCCACTCATTGCACCCATTATACCCAACAAACTGTGAACGCTTAACTCCTACACTAGTCTTAACCACTGTATTTATACTTATAGCCTGAAAATAAATACTCAATACCAATTACCAGTAGCCTATTGTTAACACTGTTACTGTTAAGCCTAACGTTTAAGAACCAATTATGTTATTTTTTATCACTACTTTGTCTTTAAACTAAAATAATAAAGTTTATCTTTAATTATATATAACTTAGAAATATAACTTTATAATTTAATAGAACTGACAATATATGTAACATTAATAATAAAATGTATTTAGCCTTATTAATATTATAACCTACTTAAACTTTACTTATAAGTTATATCTATAGTATAGGCTAAATTTAAACTAATCGACCTAAATTCAAGTAAACAAGTTAACTCTTAAAACACCAAGAGACAATAAACTAATTTCTATATTGTATTTATTTAAGAAAACAATGTATTTACCTTGTTTTACGATTTATCAGTAAGTTGAAATATACCTAAGCGTAAAGACTAAAGTATCGTTACACTTCTTAAGTCTATTTTAACGTTGTAGTAAAATTTACACCTCTAAACTCTAAAACTTTGACCGTTTTACTTATATTTACCAATCTTACTATATCTAGTTATTATTGTGTTATTTAACCAACGTTACTACGAATTATAATATTAATGTTAAAATAACTTTCAGAAATTTATATGAGCTTAACTTTTCAACGTCCTCCCTCTCCAGTCGCGCCCTTTTTAATACAGACGTTTTGGAATTTAATTAAATTCCATCATCAGCTTTAACATCTAAAAAAAAAGAAGTTATTTCATAATATTTGAACTAGAAAAAACAATATTAGCATTGAGCGAGTTTATGTGCCATACTACATTTTTGGAAACACTATACACTATACAAAATTATCACGATATTAAGTTTTGAAGTCTTTGAAAAAAAAAATCTGCAACGTATATATGTTATCGCCTAATGTGCACGTTAATTTGCGGTTTATTTTAATTTTCTTTGTTTTTAATATATGTTGTTTTGTTTTGTTTTTATGACTAATAAGTCTTGCAGTGGGATTAAAACTATTTGGGATCGAGAGCAAAGCTTTAGGGTCGGTCACTTTGCCGGAATCACAACATTTATTTTTCTAGGCCTAAAGTAATCATGATGGCTATCCTGAAGAGTTTAATTGACGTACTAATCATTCTTGTTCTGAGGTGTTTAACTCATGTATTCACGATGGTTGTCATAAGCTGTTTAATTAAAGTTGTCATGATGGATGTTATAAGGTATTCAACTAAAGAAGTTATGATGGCTCTCTTCAAGTATTAAGTTAAGTAATCATGATTGATATCTTGAAGCATTTAATTAACCTATTCATGAAGGTTATCATAAATTATCTAATTAACGTAGTCATGGTGATTGTTATAATCTGTTTAATTATCTTAGTCATGACTGTTTCTTGAGGCATTCAACTAATGTATTTACAGTGGTTATCATAAGCTGTTTAGTTAATGTAGTCATGATGCTTTTCGTCAGGTGTTTGACTAATGTAGTCATGATAGTTGTGCTAATGTATTTAACTTACCCAGTCATGATGGTTGTTTTGGTGTATTTGACTAAAGTAGTAACGACGGATACCCTGAGTTATTTAACTAAATAGTTATGATGGCAGTCTTCAAGTATGGCTGTTCTCGTGTATTTAAAACCCCACTCCCTTGCTACCATTAGTTAATTTATCATTTTTAAAACATTTCTTGAATCCGCTGCTTATTGTTAATTTTTTTACTTGTCGAACCTGAATGCCGCAGAATAGGTTGGTTTTTAAATGGTTTTATGCTAAATTTATGGAAAGTTATTTCAAACATTTGACATGGAGGAATGGCAATGATGTTCTTTTTTTTTAATCAAGGAATAAAATATTTTCTAAGGAGTTCAGACACCCTCTTGATGTTTCACGTAAAGAATAACATCAATGTATTGCACTATATTTTCATGTTGTCATCATTTATACATTAAGGAAGATGTTTTCTCTCTTCCCCCTAATTCACATTTTTGCTTAATTTTATTTTAAATGACATTTTATAGGAAAATAAATTATACGATTATTTTTAAAGACAAATTTCTGTCTTTCACCACACAATTTATGGAGAAAAAGAAAACTAAATGAACGTCATATTTTAGTCTTGAGCAGATAGATGTCATTTAATTTTAAAACGTTAAGAATAAGTTGAACTTAAATATCGTGTAAAAAACAACATACCATTCCATTGGAAACAGACAGAGAATTATTGATAATATTGTAACACTAATTACAGAATGTATTAGTTAGCAGTAATAACTAATAAAAATTAAATGTCCCGTTCACTACCTCATCATACAAAACAGTCCTAGTAAATTACAAATTTTGTTTAATGAAATTTTACACATTAAAATCACAAATTTAAGCTTAACGTTGATCCACTGAAAAGCATATTCATATTTCCGTTCATTAGTTTGTTTTTAAGCTAAAAGTTACATAATGGGCTATCTGTGCTTACTGCAGGTATCGAAACCCACTTTAAAGCGTTGTAAGCCTTCAGATATAACATTAAACTACTTGGGGGGGGGGTGTCCTATTTATTCGAAATATTTGTTCATATTACTGTTACTTATATTATTATACCAGTTTTCATTTTTATATATACCTATCATGATTAGGTGTTGTTAAGCGCAAAGCTACGCAGTAAAGCTATTTGTATTGTTCACACAACGGGTATCGAAATCCGAATTTAGCATCATAAGCCCACAGAGATTTATCGTTCAGCCACAGCGGAGGGGGGGGGCTTAGTTAGTATATAGCTTCAAATTTAGGTTATTGCTGCACGACGACATTCTCTTAATTACCTGGTAATATGTACTCAACATGCTCATAAAATAAATGTTTTTTGTCAATGCAATTCGATTGGCAGTTATGAACACACACACACACGCCCCCCCCCCAAAAAAAACAGACTAGCTTTCTCGCCAATCTTCTCCCCAGGCGTTTTTCAAATCATTTAGATTTTTTTAATTGTGATAAGCTGTTGCAAAAGAAAAATCTTGGCTATACAAAATATTACTAATATGCAGACAAAATGCCCGCAAAATAATGCAAAAGAAAAGTCTAACATTTATGCCAATCACTTGTAATAAATAAAAGCCACTATAAAAAGATTAAAATGCCATGAACTTAGTTGTAAAAAACAAAACACAATTTATGTTCACTGGTAATAGACTTGTAACTAATTGTTTATGCTTCTTTTGAAGATTTTTTAATGTAACTCGGAAGTACTAGATTTAGCTAATCAAACTATCTAACCTAAATTAGAAATGCGGAACATGAGGAATCTATCTATCTATAAATACACACACACATATCAGAATTCTTCTTTTTAAGAGTACAGGAACGTTTTTTGTTGTTTTTTTTGCGATTCCTAAAATTTCATCTTAATATCAACACTGATCCATCAATATTCGTATGCGCTGAACATTCTGAGAAAAAAAGAATAAACTTATTACGAACAGTTATTGTGTGTGCGTGTAAGTGAAGGAATTTCACGGAAAACAAACGGAACTTCTTTCATTGACTGATTGAAAGATAGGAGCATGAACGTAAAAAAAAACGCAGTTTTTAATGTCAGTATTATATACATGCATGATTTTATTACACCATGTCGAATAAACAGATTTGAATTGTATATATATATATATCCCCCTTGGCACTTTTTATAGAAATGACAACTGTCAAAACAATCACTTCGGTAGCGGTACTTTCTTGCACTCACTAAAATGAGAAGGAACGGTGGCATCCAACGGAAACAATCCCCACGACTACTTAGCGAACCTGAACGCTCTATTGTGCTGGATGCATCCATTGTATCGAAAACCTAAAATGTGTGCCAATAATGCATTGGCTAAAAAACAAACGCAATGCAATTTTCCAATTAAAAATAACATATGGAATGACAAAAGACGGTTGTAAATGCCCCATAGACAATCATATCGCATATACTCTGATCCAAGGAATTGAGTTGAGTGCACATTTTATATTTATTCATCACCATTTTTAGGAAAATTACCGTCGAATTGTTTCAATAGGCATCTGCTAATAATACACAAAGAGGATTCAATATATTGCAGAGGTCAGTTGTTTTATTGTATACAATATATAATACAAAACAATTTGAATTTTCGCCTGATTCTACATAACCTGGAAATATTCCCATATTTCATACAGTAACCCTCCGAGCAAGCTATAAAACATTAAGAACATGTCAAAACTTTTCTTCTTCCAAAAAAAAAAAAAAAATAGCTACGATTATAAACATATGTTCCTCTGTTTCATGATATATCCGCTACAAACTAAAGTGACAATTAAATGTATTAGCACAAAACAAAAACACATAAAGGCGCATCTGACCCATACTTCAATGTTTAAAAGAATTGTGAAAGAAAAAAGTTAGTTATTTGTCTATATACAAAAATAAAGCGTTTCTAATGCTTTACAATGCAAGTCATACTTCTTAAGAGACAGGCAGTAATTATAAGAGCCTTATTTAACAGAAATGTAACTTATGACAGTTAAAATGAAAAAAACAACAAAAAAACTTATACTCAAGAGACATGCAAAATAATAAATATAATTCCTTATAGACATAGCCGCAACTAGATAGAAAACTTACCAGAGGTTCAAACACTGACAAGCACATATTGTATATTTTTTGCATATGGGTGTAAAATTAAATAGTACGTTACATTTAATTTCAAATTATAATGGGGGTGTTCGGACCTCGGTGACTTCACAGCTAGCTACGGCCATGCTTATGGATACTCTATTATTTTACTAAGTCAAGATTATGGAATAACTTTTTTGATATAAAAAAAATTTACTTATTAAAGTTTGCAGAACAATGAATAACCAATTAGTATAATACTCATACAGTTGATTGTGATAGACTACAGTTGCCAACAACATTGCTGTGTACAAACCACCACTTATTTTCTTGCCCCATTAAGCATAAAAAAGAAATTAGTTCGTTTCTAACATCAAATATTGTTAGTGCCTACAATACTTGTAGATG